TAGAGTGTTGAAATTCTCACATTCTTCATAAAATGTGGCTCCTCAATGACTTAGCCAGCTGCTTTGTGTGTGTTCCCTTTTCTCTATCAGATCAATTTTTGGTCAGCAACTTGTTGCCAACATCAAAATATATTTAACATTATTCTAGGGAAGGAGAGGAGTCAGTACTTTTAAAATAAAAAAGGCGTACTAAGCTTTTGGGGCATTTGACAAAGATGAGGGTAACTTGGAAAAGATCTGTGGCCTTTACCTTTTTTCTCCCAGGAAATGCTCTGGTAGATTGATACTCATCCCTCAGGGAATGCGGTTCCGTGGTGTGACAGAGTGTTTTGGAATGGAGACAGCAGGTCTACAGGAGTCTTCCTTTTTGGTTTCTAGTGAGGGAAAGCCACCTAGGACCCTACCTCCTTTTGGACACAAATACTCAATCTCACTTCACCATCATGATTTTTGACCTCGGACAGCTGTCTTATGCATTATCTCACAAGGCAGGCAATACGGCTCCTAATGCCATTCTTTTAGATGGGGACACTGAGGTCAGGATACTTGCCCAAAATCCTCCTGATATCTTTGCAGACTAGAACCCACTGAGGTGCATGATTCAGTCCTGTGCCTTTTCCTGAAAGACATTTATTGGAGATAGTAAATAGTATGTGCTCAATTCACTCCCCTGCTTAAGATCCTTCATGTGCTCCCCACGGCCCACAGGATAAAGCCCAAGCTCCTTAAAACGGCCTGCAATGGGCCGGCCCCGTGGCTTAGTGGTTAAGTGCGTGCGCTCTGCTGCTGGCGGCCCGGGTTCGGATCCCGGGCGCGCACTGACACACCGCTTCTCCGGCCACGCTGAGGCCGCGTCCCACATACAGCAACTAGAAGAATGTGCAGCTATGACATACAACTATCTGCTGGGGATTTGGGGGGAAAAAATAAATAAATAAAAAATCAAAAAAACAAAAAACAAAAAAACGGCCTGCAAGCCGCCACTCGCCCAGCCGCGTTTCTCACCTCTCTTGCAGAATTACTTGCTTCCTTGTTTTTGCACCTTCTCTTTTCTTTCCTCCTCTGTCTGCTTGTCCATCTGTTGAACTCCTGCACATTCCTTATGAGCCACTTCCCTGGAAGCACTTGCTTGACCAGTCTCCCCCTCCCCTCTCCTCCCTCTGTTGGTCCCCTACAGAGTTAGGTCCCCTCTTTTGTGCTCCTGTCACCCTGTGTCAGTACCTTTATTATAGCATCCATCATATTGTATTATGGTGTGTTGGTATTCTCTTCTCCCTGCTGGACCATGAGCTCCTGTTTAGTAGCGCTTGGTGTGGATTCATTTAAATTATCTTTGTGGGGGCCAGCCCCATGGCTTAGCGGTTAAGTACTTGTGCTCCGCTACTGGCGGCTCCGGTTCAGATCCCGGGCGCGCACCGACGCACCGCTTCTCCAGCCATGCTGAGGCCACGTCCCACATACAGCAACTAGAAGGATGTGCAAGTATGACATACAACTATCTACTGGGGCTTTGGGGAAAAAAGGAGGAGGATTGGCAATAGATGTTAGCTCAGAGCCGGTTTTCCTCAGCAAAAAGAGGAGGATTAGCATGGATGTTAGCTCAGGGCTGATCTTCCTCACAAAAAAAAAAAAGATAAATTATCTTTGTGGGGCTGCCCGGTGTGTAGCGGTTAAGTTCGTGCACTCCGCTTCAGCGGCCCAGGGTTTGCCAGTTCGGATCCTGGGCGTGGACCTACTCACTGCTCATCAAGTCATGCTGAGGCACGTAGAAGAACTAGAAGGACCTACAGTTAGGATATACAACTATGTACTGGTGGCTTTGGGAAGGGAAAAAAAAAAAAAGAGGAAGATTGGCAACAGATGTTAGCTCAGGGCCAGTCTTCTTCAATAAATAAATAAGCTTTGTTGCTTATAAATCTCCTTCTCCCTTTCCATGTACAAACCTCAACTATCTTCATCATCCTCTGCTTTAAAAAAAAAATATATATATACACATATGCATACATGCCTTATATATACAAATGCATATATGCCTTAGTGTGGAAATGACAAGGCTAAGAATGATATGGGGTTTTTTTCTTGTTTTTTAAGTTAGTTTTTGCTTTGCTTGGTATATGTGTGGCAGTGGGTGGGGAGATATGTGCCCCTTCATGCAGAGAGGTCATGCAGGGATTGTGGTGGGTGGTAGCAGCCACGGAAAACCATTCGGGGGGGTTTTATCAGCTGAATAATGGCAACATCCTACGAGCTTTACAGTTTGGAGGCTTCATGCCTCCTCACTCCATCTAAAATCCACACACTTGAGGCAGTAAATGCTAGTTCTGGCATTTGACTCTTTTCTGCCAATCTTCCTCGTGAGGTGGTGGCTATGACATTGATTTCTAATCCTATGGCCCTGGATATATTGTACATTGACATGTTCTAGTCATCTGTGGTTTCTCTGTTGTTAATGCAATTGACCTAAGTCAAAAATACCCTTGGTGACAATCAGCAGAAACCCACCATAGCTAATTTATGTTAACAAGGAGATTTATTATAAACATACAAGTGTGATTCATGGATCTGTGGGCCAAAGTTTTGGGGTCGGGTTGGGTCTCACTAAAGCCTGGAAAGCCATGATTATTTGTGTGTCTGGGGGTTGGGCTTTCATCTCCAGGTATCATCGTCATGTGTCTTATTCTCTGCAGAACAGCTTCCTCTGCTGCCCAGTGTTTGTGGCCACATCTACAAGTCTGTAGTTGAAGCAGCTTGATTAGCTTCTCTTAGCTCTTCAGCTAAATTAATAGGAGAGAGAAAAGGATTAGCCTTTTGTGGACCTGCTGTCCGTTTCCCTATGCAGTTGATGGGGAGGAGGTGGTTCACTCTGGGCCGTTGGGGAGCAGGGAACAGTCATCTGGGGAAAGGGAGTTTTGGGTAGGACAGAAACCTAAAAGGTGTCTCTTGATTGTTTTGTTTATGGAATGTAAGAAAAGAATCCACTGACCATTTCAAGAGTTGTAGGAAGTTTTGCATAGTATAAATTCTTTATCATCAGAAGATGATGTTTCTGTGGATGTAACAATAGGGTAGTCTTCTCCACTCTGGCTTCAGTGTTTGTAACTGAATTCCAAGCACTAGTCAGGATGATCATTAGAGTTTTCTAACAGCTAATAGAGTTTAATGAATAGCTTTGCTCTCCTCAGAGAGAGATGATAGACCTGTCAAAAATAATTGTGCTTTAATTTAGTTCTTTGCCAATGACAGATGATGAAAATTCTCAATGAGAATTTCTCAATTACCAAAAGACTTGTAGCGTTTACATATGCAAGAATAGTCCCCCTTGCGTAACCTAGAGCAATACATCAGAATTATCTGGGGAGCTTTTTGCAAAACCAGACACCCAGCTGCATCCGTACACCGATTCCTTAGGCTTGTGGTGGGGCCTGAGTGTCTGTTCAGGGAACAAGCTCCCTAGATGATCTGACAGCTCCCCAAGTTTGAGAAGCACTGCCTCAGAGGGACTTGATTTATTGGCATCTCCTGGGGTGGAAATTGTAGCCATCTCTAAAATAGACCCTGCTCAAAATGGGTTCTCTGAAACAGCCGTGACTTTCTTCCTCATTGTCAAGATGGGCTGTCTGATCTTTCCCTGCCTTGGCTCTACTCAAGTTTCTTCTATTCTATTTCTGTATTTTAATCTGGATTAACAACTTCAGAAAACTCACACTACCCAGAGCCTTCTGCCAAAAAAAACAAAACAAGAAGATTCCAGGTTTTGTGGTTTTTTTTTTTTTTTTGGGAGGAAGATCAGCCCTGTGCTAACATCTGCCAATCCTCCTCTTTTTTTGCTGAGGAAGACTGGCCCTGGGCTAACACCTGTGCCCATCTTCCTCCACTTTATATGGGACGCCACCACAGCATGGCTTGCCAAGCGGTGTGTCGGTGCGCACCCGGGATCCCAACCAGAGAACCCTGGGCCGCCGCAGCGGAGCACGTGCACTTAACTGCTCGCGCCACCCGGCCGGCCCCGAGAAAATTCCAGTTTTATTTGTTGACAATTGTTTCTTGTAGAAAAATTCTTGTAGAATTTTCCAGTCAGGATTTGACTGCATCCCCATGGTGTCATTTAACATGTTTCTCTGTCCCAGTGTTTGTTGTAAATTGGTAGATTAGCATAGAAGCTCAAGCAGATTGAAGTTAGATATTTTGGCAAGAATACCTCATTGGTGGTGTGGTAGATCAGGAGGCCTATCATGCCTCTCTTTTATGTTAACAGCCACTTGTGACTGTTGCTTTGGTCCATTAACTCATTAAGGATAGCTAATTATCTTTGAATATCCAGTAAACACTGAACCCAACAGGGAGGCACTTGAAGATATTTTCACTGAGAAACAGTGACACGGAACCTGGCCTTGATTCCTCGTTAGCAGTGATTGTATCCCGTGGCACTGTCTTGTGGCTGTAGGTAATTTAGGATGGACAGTGAGTGTTCCCAGCTGTCTTTACTGAGTCCTGGTATGCTACAGAGTAGATGGCTCAGTATTGACTTGATACATTCATATTTTCCTGTTCTTACCTTCAAGGCTTTTACATATGTCCATTTTCTCTCAACGTGCAGTCTTCTCTTGCTTTCAATTCTTGATTCTCCCTGGAAGAAGAGAGGAATCGTTTTGTGGAATGTCTTCTATTCTCCATCTGACTCTGTGTTTGAGTTGCCTTACTTTGACCTGCTGTGTGACATCTGTTCCTTTAATAGGGAGTGTCCATCCCTGCCGCTCTGCTTGGGACAGCTAATACCTCTCAATCCTAAATAATTAGTTTAATACATTGAACTAATTTTTTGGAATTTTCTGTCTTCCTTTAGTTAAAAATACTTTTTAAAAAAAGTAACTTGTCAAATAAACAAACTGCTGAGGGTAAATGATGTTTTTTTTAGTGTGTATTCTGAAAGCATGGCTTTATGTTATTCATTTTGAGCCCTTAAACAAAGAAAAATATTACCCTTTGCTCTTCTCTTTTAGGAAATTCACACAAATGAAAAGGAAGTAACAGAGAAGGAAGTAACTCTTCACTTGTTGCCAGGTAACAGTCATGCTAGCATCATACTTCATGTACAGCGCAAACCCAATGATAAATTATGTCATCCCTAGTGTCACTATATATAAACTCCTTTGTTTTCATCCAGACAGCGTGTGACAGTAATGAGTTGGACAAAAATATCAAGGTCTTTAGTTCAGTAACTACACACCTGGGTCTGAGTATGACAGCATCTGCAAAGAATTTTTCTGGTTTCCCCCTCTCCCAAGCTGACAAAAATAAACCTGGGACATTCTCACCCAGGTTTTATGAACAAACAAGGCCTTTTCCAGGTTGCCTTACTTGGCCCCATCCAGTATGCTAGTCCCCAGTCCGGAAAATCCCAGTCTCCCACAGAACCCTACACCCCACATATACTGGGGTTTGCCAACCCTGGGATTGCCAGGCTTTACTCTGCGGTCATCCCCAAGGAGCCTGGGTTGGTTGGATATTTTTGAGATGGAAGACAGTGACTCTGTAGCTTAAGTCAAGTTTTGATCATTTCTAAATTCAGAAACAGAAACTACTTGGTGGCCTAGCCGCTCCGTATATGGGGATATCCTGTGAGCTGTGCATTCAGTTCTTCTTCCACTTTTCTTTTTTTTTTTTTGAATAATTTTATTTATTTATTTTTTTCCCCAAAGCCCCAGTAGATAGTTGTATGTGATAGCTGCACATTCTTCCAGTTGCTGTATGTGGGACGCGGCCTCAGCATGGCCGGAGAAGCGGTGCGTCGGTGCGCGCCCAGGATCTGAACCCGGGCCGCCAGCAGCGGAGCGTGCGCACTCAACCGCTAAGCCACGGGGCCGGCCCTCCACTTTTCTTTTTTCCAATCCCAAATAGCGTTTTTTTCCGTAAGTTTTTTAAGGTACATTTTCCCAAAACAATGGTCTCGTTGTGGTGCTTTTTATTTTTATTTATTTATTTTTTTGTGAGGAAGATCAGCCCTGAGCTAACATCCGTGCCAATCCTCTTTTTGCTGAGGAAGACTGGCCCTGAGCTGACATCCGTGCCCATCTTCTTCCACTTTATGTGGGACGCCGACACAGCATGGCCTGACAAGCGGTGCGTCGGTGCGTGCCCGGGATCAGAACCCGGGCCGCCAGCAGCGGAGCATGTACACTTAACCGCTACGCCATGGGGCTGGCCCCTGGTACTTTTTATTTTATTCCAGTTTATTGGGAGGTTATGAATATGCACAAGTTTCTGACTGATCCACATTATTTGGTAAATATATCAGAATCCTTTAACTTTTTTTTAATGTTTTTAAGTTTCAAAGGCTTTTACCTATAATAATGGCCTCAACCTTAATCCATATATCCTTTTGTTTTCCTTTTCTTGGGTTATAGTTCCTGAAATCAACTTGTATTTTTAGCTTAGTGTTCCATACATTCTCTCATCCCCTGGGTTACCTGCCGGTGCCTTCTAGGTGTGCAGCTGTGAGCTCATAGTCAACTTCTCTGAGCCCCAGTTTCCTAGACTAGACTAAGATCCTTTCCAGCTCCCACCTCCCGGGATTTGAGATTCTGTCTGTACACACAGTTGATAACAGTGGTGCAGCATGCCATGCTTGCACAGCCTTACCTGGATGCCGTATTAGCCACTGCATGCCAACTTCTAGTCTGTAGTGCATGACCACGGACTGAGATGGCTTGCCTGGTCTTGGGGAGAGACTCACCATTAAAAGCTCTTTCACACTGTGAGTTGAAAGCACAGAAAGCCTTGCTCACATGTCTTCCACCTTGGACTTAGCTGAGGCACTTTTCCTGGGACTATTTTAAACCCTAATGAGGGCTTGACTTCATTGTTTTCTTCAAGCTCCGTGGTCTCTCTAGAGGCTGACGTAGAGACTGAGCCATCTTCCAATATTTCCTTAGTAACTAACCCCTTGGAAGATGAAAGAAAATACCATAATATGTGTCCCTTGATAGTCTTAGTGTCTGAAGTTCTTCTTTGCTTTCATACTGAAAGTTAGACTAAATGAATTTTGAGCCACAAAGTAAATTTAAAGACACTGAAGGAGACATCCAGGGGGAGATTCAGAGGGGAAGATGGTTGTCTGTTGGAGGATAAAATTCCTTTTCTTTTTTGTTGCAAAATATTTACACTTAGTTTTTAATTTCCCCCATATCCTTCTCTTTTTCCTGCCCTCACCCAGACAGACATCCAGCCCTCAATGCTTACCTACCCCTACATCCTAATCTTTGTGACTGTAAAGAGAAGTACTCTATCTCCAGGAAGTACAGCTTCTCATGTGAGCTGGGTGCCTGCAGATAGAGCAGGAAAGGTGACACACTGAGAGGAAATACTCTCAACTAAGAAAGACGGGAAACAATTTTTTTCCCACAAACCTCTGACCTCTCTCTTCCTCCCATCCTTGTCTGTGGAACCAGAATGAGTGTGGTCGTGCTGCAACCTCTGTGTCTGAGGAAGCTGACTGAAAGCCCTGTGGCCAGGGAGACACCCCGCTCTCTTCTAGCAATTCCGGAGTGAGAAATGGCCCACTCTCACAGGAAAGTGGGCTCGAGGTCTGCATTCTAGAGCACACTAGTGAGCCTTTCTGGCTTCTCTCATTTAGGGTATTGCTTCTGTGGAACATCTGTGTGGGTCCAAGTAATAAAAACACTCTGATCTATGCTTGCAAGTATAGCTGAGATCATTTCCACCTACTTGGAAACTTCTGTTATTCACAGTAAGAAGATAGAGAAATGCCTGTGTGAAGGTGATTCTGAGCCATTTTGGTTTCACTTATCTTCACTTATCCCCACTCTGCTTCATCTTCTCCTAAGCTTTGCAACTCCTGCCCCAGTGGAAAGTTCTGAAGTGCTGCACTGTGTTGCCCATTTGTCTTTCCGTAAAGAGGGCTGGGGAAACCTTTACTGTTTGCATACTGTATGTTCCCTGAGGACTCTGAGGACTTGTTTTGCTTTTGATCAGGTGAACAGCTGCTTTGTGAAGCAAGCACAGTACTGAAGTATGTCCAGGAAGATTCCTGTCAGCGTGGGATCTACGGGAAACTTGTCTGCACAGACTTCAAGATTGCTTTCTTGGGCGACGACGAATCTGCTTTGGATGATGATGTATGTATGAGCTGCATTTGGCTGAGTTTGGGGGAAGCAGTGCAAATGTGGGCCCATTGTCTTTTCCCAGCTTCTCAATGACTCCACCCCCAACACACATAAACACAAAGGACAGAAGTCCTTCTCACCACTAGTCTGTTCTCTATCCTTCGGGATCTGTTTTCAGGGGGAACACTGTTCTAAAATTTCCCTCCTGTGCCTCACGTCACGCTGGTTTGCATTTGACGTCATAGGTTGACATCATCAACTTTTTCTTATTTTCTTCTGTATTTTAGCACAGTATATATCACTCCTTGGAATTACATCTCCCCAAATATACTAGTTCCCGCTGTTTTCTCTATACTAAACTCTTCCTCAAATTCAGGAACTGAATTTCGTTAGGAAACTGATGCTGAATGCAGCATATGAATTTGGGTTTACTTTACGTTTGCTCTGCACCGAGTAGCAGTGTCCTTGTAAGACTTGTCCCTACTTGTGAAGAGTGAGCAGTGGAGAAAGGAGAGAACTGCCCGTGCCACTTGGAGAACCCTGTACGTTAATGGAAACCCAGCTGTCCCGGCCCACCCTTGGCACCACTGCTGTCTCAGAGGGTGGTCTTCTGTGCTACTGTTTGCTGTAGTGGCTTGGTTCCTGGTCCCCATACAAAGACAGTATTTACAGAAACTTGAATCTCCTGGTGTATTCTCCTAACTCTGGCTTCTCTGTCACTCACCTGTTTACATTTGTGTGGAGAAATGTATGTATTTTTTTTTGGTGAGGAAGATTGGCTCTGAGCTAACATCTGTGCCAATCTTACTCTGTTTTGTATGTGGGATGCCACCTCAGCATAGCTTGATGTATGGTGTATAGGTCCACACCTGGGATCCGAACTAATGAACCCCAGGCCGCTGAAGCAGAGTGTGCAAACTTAACCACTGTGCCACCGGGCCAGCCTCCCATATGAGGAAATCTCAACCTACATGCCACTTTCTAGCACCTCTCAAAGTGATAGTGTGTGGCATGGTGGGTTTGCCTGGCAGCAGCCCATGAGTGGCATGTTCTGCCTGGGTTTGAACAATGAGTGCTCACTGGCATTTCTCACGGACTTCATCATCCCTTTCCTAGGAATGTGACTACATTCCCCTGTTTGTTTTTTTTTAAGGTGTACATTCTTTTATTTATTTATTTGTCCAGTTTTATTGAGATCAACATATAACATTGTACTATATTAGGGTGTACAACATAATGATTTGATATGTATATATTGTGAAATGATTGCCACATTGTTTAGTTAACATCTGTCACCCCACATAGTTACAAAATTTTTTTCTTGTGATGAGAACTTTTAAGATCTATTCTCTTATCAACTCTCAAATATACAATAGAGTGTTGTTAACTCTAGTCACCATGCTGTACATTACGTCCCTAGGACTTATTTATCTTATAACGAGAAGTTTGTACTTTTTGACCCCCTGCACCCATTTCCTCCACCCCCTCCCTGTTTTTATTAACGTGCAAGTGGAGAATGGTGATTTGCTCTGCCTCTAAATGTCTCACAGTGCATAGAAAGGAGTCACAGTTGTTTCCTTTTGAATCTTTTAGGAAACCCAGTTTAAGAATAAGGTTATAGGAGAAAATGACATTACACTCCACTGTGTTGATCAGATTTATGGAGGTAAGTATCTGTTTTTACCTGGGGTATTGTCAACCTTTGAAAGTATAGCTGATAATGATAATATTTTTTTAGTCCTTTGTAGTTTACTGAAATTTCTTCACATCTTTATCTTGTTTAAATCAGTTTTTGGATGATAAAATTGAGATGTGAAGTGGCTTATTTGAGGTCACTCAGCTGGAGGAGCGTGAACTTGAACTTGGAACCTGTTCTTTCTAATACTCCATGATGCCATTATATGCTAGATGTTGATCATACTTTTTGCTATCAGTGCTAGCTATGTAGGTTTTACTTTTTTTTTTTTTGTGAGGAGATCAGCCCTGTGCTAACATCTGCCAATCCTCCTCTTTTTGCTGAGGAAGACTGGCCCTGGGCTAACATCCGTGCCCATCTTCCTCCACTTTATATGGGACACCTCCACAGAATGGCTTGCTAAGCAGTGCATCGGTGCGCGCCCGGGATCCGAACTGGCGAAGCCCGGACCGCCACAGCGGAGCACGTGCACTTAACCGCTTGCGCCACCGGGCCGGCCCCTGTGTAGGTTTTACTTTAAAGGCTAGTCTGATGAAGGTCTGTTGTACTGCACTTGGATGTCTTGCTCCTGACTAAACAAGCCTCTCCCTGCTCCACTTCTCTGTTTTTGTGGTCAGGGATTTTTCAAAAGTCATTCAGTAGCCATTTATGATGCTCCCAACACCAGTAGGTGCTGCACAGTCCCAACTCTGGGACAGGGAGGAATGTATCAGGAGGGTCCCAGCTGTAAACCCAGGAGTTAATCCCTAGTGATCTCCCTTCCATCTTTTGTAACCTCCGCTTTCAGAGCTGGGTTTTCTGAAGATCAGTGGAGTCAGTTCTGCAAACAGTGGCCACTCTGTTTTGGTCTTGTGCTTACCCCGGAGGAATGAAGAACCCTGACTGTTCTCAGAGAGCCAGGGCCCTGCTGGGTGGGGCTGGGCCCCTGCTGACGTTACCTAGAAGGTAGCACCTCTCCTCTCACTTTTGAGAGATGTCCCTAGAAGTTAACATTTACCTTGTTTCTTTAGCATTAACTTGTTGCCTTATAACATGATTTCCCTTCTTGATTTCATCATTGATGTGTAGTGTTTGATGAGAAAAAAAAAACTCTCTTTGGACAACTGAAGAAATACCCTGAGAAACTCATCATCCACTGCAAAGACCTCCGCGTGTTCCACTTTTGTCTGAGGTACACAAAAGAAGAGGAAGTCAAAAGGGTAACTAGTTGCATGTGTTTTTAGGTTTTACTTCCCATCAGATTTTCCCCACTAACTCTAGTTTTTGCTTACGTTGCACGAACATTGAGGGGAGATTTTCACTCGTAAAGTTGAACCTGATTATAATCTCATATGCTTTGATTAGAATTGAGAGGTGATTTGGTAAAGCATGACTGTATTATCTTGGCACATACTACCTCCTGTCCTTTAATTCATAATATTTTTATCCCTGAAGCCTCTAAAGGGTGGGAGGTACGAACCGGGGTCAGGAAGCCATCGGGGAAAGGGAAGGAAGGAGCAGCTAGAAGCACGCCCCACCCCAACCCACCCCACCCACCGCCTCCAACAGCCTTTCTAAAAGGCAGTAGCAGTGAATCCCAATTTATGGAATGAATGAGTTTAATCTGGGAGGTAGTGGTTGCATGTGGAAGGAAGAGGAGGTACATGGGTCAGAAGGGCAAAGCTAAGCCACCAAATGAGCCTGTGCTTTTGGACACTTGTTAAACTTAATCTGGTTGCCACAGCAAATTGAGATGTATAACTGGGTGAAGTGGTTACAGTGGTTTCTCTAATGAAGATATTGAAGGTCTCAAACTTACCGCTGTCATGGTGAATACATCAGGGGAAAGCTAGGGAGACGCCAGTTTGTCTGTTGTCTTTGGCTGCAGTGCGTTATGCGTACTTTATAGGTAACTCTTTCATTTTCTTCCAGGTAGTGTGGTTGTTCAGTTAGAATAATAAACACGACTCCAGTATCTATTCTGAGGAGGAACAGAGTGATGTAGATATGGAAAATTCCCCAAGAAGCCAGAAACTTCATTTTGAATCATGATTTTAGTTGTCTCTCCAAACATACTTTTGTTTGGAACTTCACACGAAAAGCATGATGGATTGATTTCTTTCCCTAATCTTCTAGAAGAAGATCCTAAAGGCCACACCAAGTAGATCAGAATAGCTAAGAGTCTTGGTTATTATCTGGTATCAGCTGTACATCTTTGACATGTCCGATTTTTGGAGTATCTGAATATGAAAAGCACTTTGTTTTTGAGAAATTAGGCTATGTTTTAAAAATTCCCCTGGAAGTTCAAAGCTCTTAGAAAACCTGACAACATGGTTAGCATTCTGTTTATTTGGCATTATTCCAAGAGATAAAGTCATGGATACGGACCTCAATGAGAGTTAGCGTGACTGAAAACCTAGACACTTTGGTTCTTGTCTCTCTCAGTGTTTATCTGCCAAAAGCATGACTGTATCCATTGCTTGGTTCTTTTCTAGATTGTGAGTGGCATAATTCATCATACCCAGGCTCCTAAACTGCTTAAACGATTGTTTCTGTTTTCCTATGCAACTGCATCCCAAAACAATACAGGTAACTGTCTTCTGGGTTTTAATTTGTGGGGAGGCAGGACCCTTTCAATTCCTACCTGAAACTAGTGGGAGAAAACCCAGCCGTAAGGTTTTCTTTTCCTCTTCTCTAACAGTTGGTTACCTCTTGCTTGGGTGACTCATTCAGTTTTCCTTAAAAAAAAAAAAAAGTTTCTATTTTTTTTCCTGTGATCTTTGTTGCTTTAACTTATCTTGTAGGTTGTTTACTTTTTGTGAGGGATTATTTGTTTCTTATGAAAGATAAAATCAGTATGTTATAACTGGGAATGTGAGTCTATAAAGAAACAAAATTGAGACAAATTTAAAATAACCCTGTTTGTCCTGGGTTCTTTTTTCCACTTTAATATACTTGGTTTCATTTCATAAGACTCTAGAAAATAAGACACATTCTAGAAAGTTTTTGAACAACCAGAACATGCCTTTTAGCAAATATTTTGGGGGAAATGGAACAGTTGTATGTAAGAGAGCACATTAGAAAACCAGTTTGATTACAAACCTTAATATTCCAAGTGTTTTCTATTTAGTTCACTGAAAAAGAGACCAATCTTTTGAGGAAGAAACTTTGGTCATCTGAATTAGCTATTAATAATGCTTAACACTGTGCAGTGTTTCCACAGATGTCTGTCTCCTTCCTTCTCCAAATCTCTCCCCTGAGACTGTTCACTTGCTCTGCCCGTTACTCTTACCACAAAGTTGATGTTATGTGATCCTGTGTGCCGTGTGCTTCTTGTCAGGGACGTGGCATGTTAGTTTAACGGCATATATCAGACTTCCTGGAATGCAGAGTTGCTTGGTCGCTAGCTGCTCATTTGGTAAAGCGTTTATCAAACGCTTGCTGTGAGTCAGGCACTGTGGAGATGGTACTGGCCCTGATGTGGAGCTGAATAGGACTGAATCCCTGCCCTCTAAGAGCATCAAGTCAAACAGCCAGCTGAGTGATGTCTCCTCTGGTGGAAGGGGCCGTGAGAAGAGAAGGAGCAAGTGCCCCACCACACCGAGGGAGGGAGGGCTATCGGAGGGTAAAGGCTGTGCCTGAGCTGATAGTGGAAGCTGTGAGAGTGTCTGGTAGGCCCAGAGGATTGGCATGTGCAGACCTGTAGATATCTGAGAGAGCAAGTTGCATTTTGGGAACTATGGCAATTTAGTTGAAGAGCTATGAATTTCAGGGTCTGTCCCACCTGAGTTCAAATCCTTGCCCAGCTGCTTAGTAGCTTTGTAATCCTGGGGATGACACTTAACTCTTGGGGCCTCTGTTTCCTCATTTTAAAAACAGCAGTGTTAATTCTTTCCTTGAAGTGTTATAAAGATTATAAATTGTTAAATGTATGGCACATTGGTTGCAGTCATTAAATGAGGGTTGAGAGTATAACTATATATTATTCAGGACAGATTATGTTCAGAGAGTTACATTGACATAAAATATACTTAGTAGTACTATTAGGCTGAACATAAAATGTGTTACTTAATTCACTAAGTTCATCTTTGTGAATGACAGATCTTTTCACTGTTAATATATGTACAAGTGCTGATTAACTGGGTGCTGGCTTACAACAGCTTGTTGCGATGTAAGATACATGAAATATGACTTCTTTGTTGACTACTATAATTTATATAAACATTTATTGGGTTTGCATTTGAAAAATCATACTCTGTTTTTAGGAGTTCTGCCTCTTCTTGTATCCTGATTCTTAGTCTAGACCCAGTTTCTCGGCTTGCCAGCATATGTTGATCTGTGTGCCAAAACCCTTACCTTGATCGACCCTGGCAGTTTCATTACCTTATGGTGGCTTTTTGTGCCAGAAGGCTCAGGATATGTTGCGTCTCTTTTATCCTATTTTAATTCCATCCTCCTTTTCTCCTTCTTTCAAACCCCATTTTTTTTTTTTAGAATTAAAACTTATAACTGATAGATGTGAATTGACTGATTAGCTTTTTCATTGAGTAAGGGTTTGTAGAAATGGGACGTTGCAATCTGAACATCTTTATTCTCAGGCTTAATATTCACAGATGTGCTTTGGCTGAAAGGTCTTGAATGCTTATGACAGCATTTTAGGGGCAGACCTGTCTGTATTGCTAAGGAAGTGACCTACTATGCTTGAATTGGAGTATTATTATTTTTATCCATGGGGAATTTTTTTTGGCATTTATTACTTTATGGAAATTTCCTTTATAGTTGCCTAGGTTTGAATTCCACTTCTGCCATTGCCCAGCTCTGTGACCCTGGGCAAGTTACTTGACCTTTCTGTGCTACATCTGTAAAATGGAGGAAATAATATTACCTACCCTATAGAGTTGTGAGGATTGAGTTAATAAACGTAATATGCTCAGAATGGTGCCTGACACATACTCAGCGCTATATAAGCCTAACTACTGTTTTTATCATTATCCTTATTATCATCCTTTTTACAATGATCTGGTTTTATTAAAAAGAGCAGGTGGGAGTTTTATATCAAATTTTATTTTTCCCAGAAGGCTTGTTTTTTTAAGATGTGCAAGAGCTCGAACTGATTTTTGAAAATACCCAAAACTGTTGTGGTGCATGTCACCCCCAGCAAGCAGTGCTGTGGCTTAGGAGAGGACCAGGGACGCATCTGCTGGGCTGCGAGAGCAGTGCTCTTGGGCGTTCCCTCCTAACAGGTAGTCACAGGGCAGGGATGGGGTCAGAAGTACCTGTCAGCATGACGCGACTGGTAGTTAGCAGCCCCTGACCCTCACCACGGCTATCTCATTTGTTTATGGCCTTCAGTAACCAGCTGTCACACTGGAAAATCCTCTTGTTGGCAGTGCGTCTTCCAATTGAAGGAGGATTTGCATTCAGGAATCTGACATGCTGTTCAAATGAGTTTGCCATCCTACGCACACATTGGCAGAGCTAAAAATATTTTATTTTAGCATTTGTGCCAACCCTGTCTTTTAGTGCTTCACAGGATCTTTTTATGTTATATAAATTATCTCATGGTCAGATGACTGAAAATGGAGCTATAAATTACTTCTGCAAGGAATGGAACAAGAACAACTTCTTTCCTCCAGTATAAAAAGACAGAGCCTCAAATTTTGGATTAATGACAAAAAAAAAAAAGGAACAAGGTTAGGATTAAGCAGTGAATTCATTCTGCTTGGATAAAAATGGGCTTAGTGGAGGAAATTGGGACCTGAGGATCCACTTGCACATCATTAAAATACCAGTGCTTCATGACAAGATTTTATTGTCTTTTTAAATTTGTTTTGTTAGCCACTCATCCCAGGAGCCATACTGTGATGTTTGACACACTTAAGGACTGGTGTTGGGAACTGGAGCGGACCAAAGGCAACATGAAGTACAAAGCAGTGAGTGTCAATGAAGGCTATCGGGTCTGTGAAAGGTAAGCTTTCAGTGCTGGGCTTTTTTTTTTTTTTTTTTTTTGGTGAGGAAGATCAGCCCTGAGCTAACATCCAATGTCAATCCTCCTCTTTTTGCTGAGGAAGACTGGCCTTGGGGTAACATCCATGCCCATCTTCCTCTATTTTATATGGGATGCCGCCACAGCATGGCTTGACAAGCTGTGCCTCGGCGCACACCTGGGATCTGAACCCTGGGCCACCACAGTGGAGCACACGCACTTAACTGCTACGCCACTAGGCCGGCCCCTCTTTTTTTTTTTTTTATTGATGTCATAATAGTTTATAACATTGTGAGATTTCAGTCGTACATTATTATTTGTCAGTCACCATATAAATGTGCCCCTTCACCTCTTGTGCCCTCCCTCCAACCCTCTTCCCCCTGATAACTGCCAAGCTGTTCTCTCTGTCCATGTGTTAGCTTATATTCCACATCTGAGTGAAGTCATATGGTGTTTGTCTTCCTTTGTCTGGATTATTTCACTTAACATAATACCTTCCAAGTCCAACCATGTTGTTACAAATGGGATAATTTTGTCTTTTATTTATGGCTGAGTAGTATTCCATTGTATATATATACCACATCTTCTTTATCCGATCATCTGTTGATGGACACTGGGTTGCTTCCACTTCTTGGCTATAGTGAATAATGCTGCAGTGAACATAGGGGTGCATAAGCCTCTTTGGATTGTTGATTTCAAGTTCTTTGGATAAATACCCAGAAGTGGGATAGCTGGATCATAAGGTATTGCTATTTTTAATTTTTTGAGGAATCTCCATACTGTTTTCCATAGAGACTGCACCAGTTTGCATTCCTACCAGCAGTGAATGAGGATTCACTTTTCTCCACATCCTCTCCAATATTTGTTATTTTTTTGTCGCGGTAATTATAGCCATTCTAATGGGTGTAAGGTGAGACCTTAGTGTAGTTTTGATTTGCATTTCCTTGATGACGTTGAACATCTTTTCATGTGCCTATTGGCCATCTGTATATCTTCCTTGGAAAAATGTTCATATCCTCTGCCGATTTTTTGATTGGGTTATTGGTTTTTTGTTGTTCAGATGTGTGACTTCTTTATATATTATGTAGATTAACCCCTTCTTTGATATATGATTTGCAAATGCTTTCTCCCAGTTGTTGGGTTGTCTTTTCATTTTGATGCTGGTTTTATTTGCCTCGCAGAAGCTCTTTAGTCTATGAAGTCCTACTTGTTTATTTTTTCTTTTGTTTCCCTTGTCCGAGTAGACATGGAATTCGAAAAGATTCCTCTAAGACAGATATCAAAGAGTGTTCTGCATATATTTTCTTCCAGGAGTTTTATAGTTTCAGGTCTTACCTTCAAGTCATTGATCCATTTTGAGTTAATTTTTGTGTATGGCAAAAGACAATGGTCTACTTTCATTCTTTTGCAGGTGGCTGTCCAGTTTCCCAGCACCATTTATTAAAGAGACTTTCCTTTCTCCATGTATATTCTTAGTTCCTTTGTCAAAGATTAGGTATCCATAGATGTGTGGTTTTATTTATGGGCTTTCAGTTCTGTTCCATTGATCTGTGTGTCTGTTCTTGTACCGGTACCATGCTGTTTTGATTATTATAGCTTTGTAGTATATTTTGAAGTCGGGATTGTGGTGCCTCCAGCTTTGTTCTTTTTTCTTGGTGCTGTGCTTTTTTTTTCTTAACAGCTTTATTGAGATTTAATTCACATGCCATATAATTCACCCATTTGAAGAGTATAGTATACTTTAGTATATTCATAGGATGGTTGTGCAACCATCACCACAGTCAATTTTAGAACATTTTCATCATCCCAAGAAGAAACCGCATACCCCTTAGTCACTCCCCAGGTCCCCCAACTCCTCAGCCCTAGGCAACCACTAATCTACTTCTGTCTCTATAGATTTGCCTATTCTGGGCATTTCATATAAATGGAATCGTATAATATGTGGTCTTTATACCTGGCTTCTTTCATTTAGCATAATGTTATCAAGGCTAATGTTGTAGGATATATCAGAATTTCATATTTTAATTATTACTGAATACTATTCCATGGTATGGATGTACCACATTTTATTTATTCGTCAGTTGATGGGCATTTAGGTTGTTTTCACTTTTTGGCTATTATGAATAATGCTACTATGAACATTCATGTACATGGTTTTGTGTTGACATATATTTTCATTTCTCTCAGGTATATACCTAGGAGTGGAATTGCTAGGTCATATAGTAAGTCTGCATTTAACCTTTTGGGGAACTGCTAGACTGTTTTCCACAGCGACTGCACCATTTTACCTCCCCCTCAGCAGTGCACAAGTGTTCCTCTTTCTCCACATCTATACTATGCTCTTTTTCTTGTGAGAAAGATTGGCCCTGTGCTAACATCTGTTGTGAATCTTACTCTTTTTCCTTTTTCTCCCCAAAGCCCCAGTGCATAGTTGTGTATCATAGTTGTAGAGTTATAGTTCTTCTATATGGGACGCTGCCTCAGCGTGGCTTGATGAGCAGTGAGTAGGTCCATGCCCAGGATCCAACTGGTGAATCCCAGGCCGCCAAAGCGGAACACGGGAACTTAACTACTATACCACTGGGCCGGCCCCTATACTGTGCTTTTTGAAGAAACCCTTAAAGTGTTCCTTAAAACATTCAAAAGTGAATTTGTGTCTTTTTCCCCCCATTATTGTATCTGTAATCTAAATGTAAAACTTTTAGAGGCATTTCTGAGTTTTCATTGTGTATTTGCTTTCCTTTTATTGAGCACTTCACTTATTCATTCAATAAAATTTTTGAGTGCCTACATGTGTGTGCCAGGCCGTGTCCTAGCCACTGGAGATGCAGCAGTAAACAGAGAGCCCAGAAATCCCTGCCCTCCTGGATCTTTCTAGTGGGAGGAGAACAGTGAGAGAATACATGAGTGATTATAGTGTATTAAAAGGTAATATGTGCTATGGAGAAAAATAGATCAGGCAGGGGGTTAGGGAGCGCTGGAGGTGTTAGTGGGGAGGGTTGGTCAGGCAGAGGGAACAGTAGGAGCAAAGGCCCTGAGGTGGAATCTTGTCTGGCTTGTGTCAAGAACAGCGAGGAGCCCAGGAGCTGGAGAGGAGCAAGTGGGGACAGAGTAGTAGGAGTGAGGTCAAGGCACAGAGGGCGCTGGGTGGTCCTGGGCCGGGAGGCTTTCAGAAGAATCTGCAGTGCAGTAAGGAGGAGTTTGAGAAGAGTCATGATGTGATCTGACCTACATTTTTAAAGGATGACTCTGCATAATCTTCTTTTAGAAACTTGAATCTTATCATTTTGTTTTGTTGTTGTTGTTGTTGTTTTTTAATTTTTATTTATTTATTTTTTTCCCCCACAGCCCCAGTAGATAGTTGTATATCATAGTTGCACAGCCTCCTAGTTGCTGTCTGTGGGACGCGGCCTCAGCATGGCCGGAGAAGCGGTGCGTTGGTGTGCGCCCGGGAACCAAACCCGGGCGGCCAGCAGCGGAGCGCATGCACTTAACCGCTAAGCCATGGAGCCGGCCCAAATCTTATCATTTTGGAACATACTCCCCAACACCTACCAACAGTTTCATAAAACTTGTCATTTTGTAGAGCACTTTGTTTTCATGATTCTGATGGGCCTCTTCAAATTAGTTTTGATTTTGATCAATCTCAAACAATTATAAGGTTAGCCTTCCTGTCACAACATGAACTGGGCTGACAGTGGGGAGGGGCCTGCAGGACAAGTGTCCCTATCACATACACCCCCACTCCCACCCTACCCCTTCTCCCCTCTTTACAGTCACAAAGCTTGAAAAGGGAAAGCTAGCTCTTGCTCAGAAAGAGGTTAGAAACCCCTGCTCCTAGGAGGGGGTATTTTGTAATGTGATGTTGATACTGATGGAAGGCATTCCCGTTCCCAGAAAAAAAAATCCTGCCACATGCTGATTAAGTTGACTGGTGTTTGCATAGAGGTCAGCACATCAAAATATACCTGGTAGAGACAGTGGGGGGAAGCTTTCAGTTAGTGGTCGGTGGAGAGAATAGAGCTGTACGAAGATTTTAGTGCTCAGAGTGCTCAGTGCAGACACACTCCCCTGGGACTGCCCCAGCCCCCGCCACCCCCACTTTTCTGTCCCATGGGGCTGATACAGGAAAAGCTGTGCTTTGTTTCTCACCTGAAGCACTGTGGAGCTGCCTACGTGGACTCTCCTGTGCCTCTGGTCCCCCAGCATGCACTCTCTGGCAGGCCAGCGAGCATCTCCAGTGTGCGTCTGATTATTTTATCCCCTACTTCAGTGGCTCCCCACTGTTCTTGGTAAATAGACAACACTCTTAACGAGCGCTCCGAGGACCTTCGTGAGTTCGACTCCTGCCTAACTCTCTGACTGGGTGTCTACCTTTCTCACCATACCACACCCCACCATAGGCCTTGCCTGTGCAGAGTCTCCTGTCTGGAATGCTCCTTTTGCTTCTAGCTGCACAAGTGTAGTTACCTCCACTTCATCTGTCAGGTTGTAGCTCAGGTATCACTTTCTTAGGGAGTCTTCCCAAGACAGGTCAGATCTCCTTGTGAGAGCTTTCACTGCAGTGTAGGCCTCTCGTCACAGCACTTCCTGCAATTGTGAGTTTATTTTTATCTGTGTCACCATTTGGTTAATATTTGTTTCTGCAACCTGTCAGCTCTGGGGAATCAAAGACACTGTTTTGTTCATCATTATATCCTCAGAGCCAAGTACAGTGCCTGGTTTATAAGAGGTATTCAATAAATAGGAGACAGAATGAGTGAATTAATGAAAGGCCCTGTAGCTAGAGAAGACTCCAGCCAGTTTGGATAAGAAAAACAGAGCATCTTCTCCACCTTCCCCCAAGGTTAGAGCTGGTTATTCCAGTACCAGAGTCCATTCCTTCTCCTGAAAAGCCTTTCTCTTGTCCCACCTCCCTGTGAAGGTATCAAAAGGTCCAGAACTCTGTAGGGTGTGTGTAACACTGAGGGAACCTATGGTTT